GAGGTTTTGTATTACTTTTTTTTAAAATAAATAAATAAATAAATAAAACTTAATATGCAAGGGGTCTCTCTCTCTCTCTCTCTCTCTCTCTCTCTCTCTCTCTTCGGTGAGTACTACGCCTTCTAGGTAAGTTAATGATTTTTGGGCTAGGTGGTGGTGGTGTTAGGTGCCATTTGACCCTCCTACTTCTTGTTGACATTCTCGTCTCCCTACTTCTTCAATCACAGAGTTGAATTTTTTCCTTTTTGGGTATAAATAAAGGGTTTTGAAATGAACTGATGAATGAGAAAGAGAAGTTAGCATGCAGTGGAACCTCGTAATATGAAAAGAACATGGATTTGAATTAAAAGCAATGGGGAAGTTTAATTTAATTGATTTATATGAAGGCTTTTTGTTGTTTGTTGTTCTTGGAACTTCGAGGCGTAAGTGAAAGAAAGCAGCAACCAAGTTGGTGGCAATGAACAGAAAAACTAAAAAGCAGCAGCGGGACTGCAACATAGCCTCGTGCTTTAATTGTCAACACATATTTCTTGTTTATTCACACAATAAATTAGGAGGACGCTGGCGGTCGGCTGGCGGAAGAGAAGTAGAGATTTCAGGCGGAGATATTGCGAGCAGAGTGTAATTTCTTGAGAATGGAAAGGAACTTTGCGTTAAAGAAATTGGAGAAGAATCGGGTTCGAATTGAAAAAACTCTCAAATCTGCTTTACAAAATCTTGCTTATGTAAGTCTTTTTTCCCCAATTAACAACATTGTTTAAATAAACCGATCTTATTTTGCCTCTGAATTTGAATTTCATCCACTGTTTTACAGGGAAGAAAGAAGCTTTATGAAGTGAAGAACATGGAAATAGTGTTGGAGGAAGAAATGAAAGAGAGAGAGAGAGAGAGAGAGAGAGAGGTGGGACCCCTTGCATATTAAATTTTATTTATTTATTTATTTGTTTTTAAAAAAAGTAATACAAAACCTCATAAATGGTCCCTGGGTAGTGAAATGACAAAAATACCCCTTACTTAACGGCTAAATGGTAACGGAGTGAGCCGGAAGGACCAAATGTTAAAAGTTTTAAAACCACAGGGACCATCTATGAGGTTTTTTGAACTTAGGGATTAAACTTGATATTTTCGAAAACCACAGGGACCATTTTTGAAGTTTTGTCTATGTTTAATAATGTTTTTTAAAATATTAATAAATTATAACTAAAAAACTTTAAAAAAATAATGAAACTAATGATAATGTTGTTTGTTAGAGAATGAAACGACGAAAATCTACTTGATCTCTCATCTTATATTCATCTTATTATATGGAAAAAATTTACTTATCTATTTTCCTAATAACAAATTTTATTTATAAGAAAGATAAATCAAAAGAAAATATTATTGTAAAGTAAGTAATATATATATTATACATGTATGAAAAATGTTGTTGTTGTTATTATTATTATTATTATTATTATTATTATTATAACATCTCGGGCTTTCATGTATTTTCAAATCCTTCATTTCGTATTTAAATATGTCATTTTGGGTCCGTGGAGTATAAATGAGTAGCCTTAAGAAGCCTTGGTGGCAAAATGGTAATTTTTGGGAGCATGAGTAGTACGTTGGGCGTACATGTGAGTACGCTAGGCGTACTAGGGCACACCCTAGTACGTTGGGCGTACACATATGTACGTTGGGCGTACTAATGTTCGGGTGAAACCCTAATTTTTAGGGTTTGAAGAGTATTTAAGCACCTTTATGGATCATTTTGCCTCACTCTTTCAGCCTCCAAGTCCTTGAGCCGTTTTTAGTGAACCCTAACCCCATAAGTGAGTGTGTTCAGCTTAAGGTGTGATATTTGTGTGTTTAAAGGAGAAGGAAGTGCATCAAGGAGTTAAGGAAGGAAAGCAAGCTTGTAGATCTTGGATCATCATCTCATTTGGAAACTCCAGAAGGTAAAAAGTTGCTACCTTTATGTTTGGTTTGCTTAGATCTCATCTTGGTAGCTTTATGATGTTTATGTGTCCGTAAAAGTTCCATTGTTGTGCATGTTTGATTTTGGACGTTTTGGGTTGTCCTTCTAGACCCTAGGAAGGGTCCTTAGTCATAAAAATGAGGTCCCAGTGACCAGAAGTGTCTCATGCATTTGGAAAAAGGGTCTTAATGGATTAAGACCTTGTATTAAGAGCTTATAGACGTGTAAATTCATAAAGTTGGAGACTTTATGACTCCAGGGTGCATTTGGACCATGGATCTGTAATTTAAGCTTAAGTGCTTAAGCCATTAAGCACTTAATGGACTTTTGGATCAGTGAGGGTACGCCCCACGTAGGGAGGAGTACGCCCTGCGTACTAGGTCAGCCACCCCGATGGTGGTCAATGCGAGGTTCGCGTACGCCCTACGTACCTCTGGTGTACTCCCAACGTACGTCGTCTGTGGGCTTTTGAGTTTGGTCTTCGAGTTTTGGGCCACCTTTTGGGCTTGTGTGGCTTAGGCCCTCATTGGAATTTCTGAGCATGGGTGTTTTGGGCCAGTTGGAGAGTTGGACCTTAGGATAAGGCCCAATAAAGGGTTAGGACCAATTTGGAAAATTGGGCCAATTATGGGTCTTGAAGTAATTTTGAGCCTTTTGGATCAAAATTTGGACATTAGGCCTTGGCCCAATTGGGGAAAGGGTAAAGTGGACATTTGCCCTAAGTTTGGATCTTTAGTCAAGGATGGTAATCCAATTGCTAATTGGATGTTTATTTTGTTGTGATAGTTCGGGGTTTTCGTGAGCCAGCAGCCGAAGGTTTTTAGTGTGGTTCGACATTGTGAGGTGTGTGTCCTTACTGTACTTTCGGGTTGAAGGAACAAAGGCCAACCCTTTGATTTGATAACCTGATATTATAGATATGTTGAGTATGGAATTGATATGCATGCTAGTCTTGCATATGTTAGTCTGGTAAATCTGTAGGACTACCTGCGATATTGTTTGTTTATTTGAATGTGTTATTATCTGTTATATATCAACATATTGTGTGGGTTGGGTTGAGGTTGTACTGCTCCGTGTTGTAGCCAACAAACCCTGGGGCATACGAGATATGAGTTGAGGGCCAGGGAGGACATGTCAGACTCATACTGAGGGCTCATGAGCATTCCAGATACGAGTTGAGGGTCGGGAAGGGCATGCCAGACTCGTACTGAGGGCTTAGTGGTATTCAGTCCAAGGACTGATCAGACCGGGGAGCAAGCTAGACATAATCTGTGGGCCTATGGGGCAAGCCAGACTTATGTTGTGGGCTCAAGGGTAATCAAGTATGTTAGTTGTGGACCCATTGAATGATGTTATTATATTTGTGCTATTTGTTATGTATTGGTATTCTGGGGGAACTCACTAAGCTTTGGGCTTACAGTTTTGGATTATGTTTCAGATACTTCAGAGGATCGCGGGAATGCGAAGGCGTGATCGTGCACATCCTCATGTTTTGTTTCACGATTTTGGTATTTCTTTGATGTTGAACTTATTTTGAAAACAATTTGTAAACAATGATGGTTTTTGGGTATATTTAAAAGTTTAAAATTTTTAAGAATTTTATGAATGTTACATTTTCTTGAATCTTATGCATTTGAAATTTTCATGACTCTTCACAATTTAAATGACTTTTTAACTATTGATGATTAATTTATTCATTAATATGATGATTACAATGGTTAATCTTCAAATAGAAAACTTAAATTTAAATATCAAATTAAAAAAAATCATCAAAAAATAATTTTTATAATAATATTTTCTTTGAAAAAAAGGTAGTATCTTAAGTATATAAAAAATAATAAAAATTTAAATAGAATGTTACATATCAAAACTATATTACAGGCAACCTACAAATAAATTTCATTGAATTGATATGATCACAAAAATATCCATCTAAATTGATTAGCTATTAATAGTTCAATATTGCTATAAACCAAAAATAATAAATTTATTTTTATTTTCATCTATAACTTACGTGTAGTGATTAATAAGAGGATTTGGTTTTAGTATGCATCTATTTTATCATATATTTAAGATAATTAAAATATGCTATAACAAATTAGTATAAAAAATCATTAATTCTATAATAACAATGGTGTAGTTATTTTTAATATATATATATATATATATATATATATATATATATAGTTTTATTATATTATTTTATTATGTCTAATATTTTTGTCATAATTTTAAATTTTTAATCAACAAAGTTTTAATCACGTGCAACGTACAGATATTCATATAGTTATACATAATTAGGGTATTTATAATCTATTGAATTCAACTTCAATGGAGTGACATATTATCTATTAAACACATATTTAATCATTTGTTCTTTCTATTAAATCATTCAATGATTATTCAACTTTAGTGTATGTCATCATTCATACTCCATTCAACCCATAATTAATCATAATCATCACTCATAATATATTATTAATAAAATATTTATTTATAGAATAAAAGTAAGAATCAAATACAAACGGATGAGAACAGAATCACCAAATGTTTATATATAAATATGTCAAAAAGTGCTTGAATATTTGAGCAAGAATTATTATTTTATGATATAACCCTTTTGTGGCTATTAATAACCATTTTTCCATAAACTAAACCAAAATAAATAATAGTGGACATTTTATGGAAATAATCATTTTTTTTGGGTATTGATAAACAAATAAAAGGCTTATATTAGTTCTTATATTAGTTCTTATAGTCATACACAATATATAATTAAAAAGTATTTATTCATAGAATAAAAGTGAGAATTAGATACAAACGGGTGAGAATAGAATCACCAAATGTTTATATATAAGTTTTTCACAAAGATGCTTGAATATTTGAGCGAAATTATTCTTTTAGCCATTAATGTTTGTATATATAAGTCTGTCAAAAAGATGCTTGAATATTAGTGAAATTATTCTTTCGGCCATTTTTGGGGTTGAAATCTGATTCCATCTTCCACTTTGAAAAAGAAAAGCAAACACATGACTCATGACATATGAACATGACGAGTGATGATGAAAGAAAGGCGACGTCACTTGTAATTACATCGTTCCTTCATCTTCTTCCCCTTGACAACGACATGCCAGATGCCCCCTTTTGCTTCTGGCTTTCCCTTTTCAAACCTACATGGTAATGAAAACACACACACACCCCTCCATTTATGGTATTATATATATAAGTTAGTTCAAACTTCAAAATATTATTTGTTATTCGCAACTTTGTATGAGATTTTACTATGGAAAGGGGCAACATGAAGAAACCAGAAAGGAAAGTAACAGAAAAGATCAGAAGGAACCAAATGAAGTTTCTCTATTCCCGTCTCTTCTCTCTCATCCCTCCCCATCTCATCTCCAAGGTTTTAATCACTTGAATTGCTTCTTCTTCACATCTTCATATCTCATCAATTCTTTTTGTTCGTTTATCTGAAATCGATTATAACTTCTTCTTTTTTGGATTCAGGGAGGTGACCAAGTGTCGGATCGAGTGGATCGAACGATTGAGTACATTCAAAGCTTGAAATCGAGCTTGGAGATGAGCCAGATCAGGAAGGAACAGTTGTTGAGTACAAAGAAGAGATCACACGAGAACACGAATAGCAACAAATCCAAATCAATTGATATTCAGATCCACGAAATGAGTCCAGATCTTGATGTTGTTTTGATAACAGGATTTGAATACTCGATCGGATTTTTATGACGTTGTCCGGTTACTTGATCAGTATAGCAGTGAGGTAGCCCTCGCAAATTTTTCGAGCTCCGGCCATTCTACCTTCCATGTCCGCCACAAAAAGGTGAATCCCGTTACCATAAACCCCGATTTCTTCTACTTGATCTGCTTTTATCATCGTTGTTTCTAAAATAGTTGATTTGATTGTGGATATAGATTGAAACAGAGGAAATGTCTCAGAGACTCATGATTTTACTCCAAGGATACTCGAACGTAAAGGAATTGGGGAATGACCAAGGATTCTCGAACGAACTGGAATTGGGGAATGATTATGCATCATCTTGCGATCAATTTGAATCGAATTTGAATATATGGGATTTTGATTTCCAATCGAATGTATGGGGATGGGAATTAGAGGGATTGCCAATGAGCATCACAAGTTAAGAGAATACATATTGGAAGTACCCTGTATTTAATTTTTTTTTTATATTTTTAGCTTATTGGATAATAGATTAATATGACGAATTTAAAACTTCGATGGTATTTAAGAGAATAAATATCACAAGTTAACGAATTTAAAACTTCGATGGTCTCCTAAGTCATTTTCCCTAATAATGAGAGGGAGGGAGGGAGGGAGAGAGAGAAACTTAAACTATTAACTTTAACATATGAAATCTGAGCCTACATTATTAATTAGTATTAGGGATTAAAGAAATATTGATATTCATTTATGTGATAAATATAAAATTTGGTTTTTATAGAGGTGATTTTCTGCATGCTAGCAAATTATGCAGATTTAATTGTAAAATTAACAAAAAAACTGCAAAAAGGGTCTCTGTAGTATGTATTTTTTTCGGGTTTTGGTCTAAACCCCAACTTTTTTGGATTTGTGGTTTTTTTAAGCTAGTTTCGTTGTGTATTTGATCCCTCCGAATATTGAAATGAGTATAATACCCTTGGGGTATTTATTTTCTGTTTTTCTTTCATTTTTTAAAATCTAATAATTATTTATTTATTTTAATAATAAAAAAATAAGAGGGGGCCCCACCTCCTTTCTCTCTCTCTCTATCTCTCTCTCTCTATATATATATATATATATATATATATATATATATATATATATATATATATCATGGATGAAAACAATGTAATCGTTTCTCCTCCCTTCAATCTCCTTCAACAGTCGACTCCTAATCTGAACCTAATAACGGGAGAACCAGAAGGAGATAAAGGGAAATCGTCTCTGAAAAAACTTTACTACTACCGGAAGCCCAATCTCCATTACAACCTCAACCTTTCTTCCCTCCATTGCGACCCACATCCATCCTAAACAGTAGAACACCGCCACTCAACTTCGCTTTCACCACCAACTCTCATTGTTGCTCATTTGTGTCATCGTCACCACCACCTACGATCCAATATCACCGCCTCTGGTCCACCTTTGCAAAAGCCCTCTTCGACCAATTTTGGGTCTAATGGGTACAAAATGGTTGCATGGGGAGAAGAGAGCTTATGATCGTTACCAGTGGGGAAGGAAAAAAGAAGGATTGGACTCTTCGCCAGAGGTCCAATGACAGCAGTAGTTTCAAGCGAGAGGCGAGATGAATGAGAGGGTGAGGGAGAGAGTAAGGAGAATCAAGGAGTTGGGTTAGATTTTGTATTTGGATCGAACAATCGACATCAAAAGACTTCAGATCCTCCTCAATGGTCTTATAATAGGTTTTCCAAAAAATTATCAAAGTCCAGTTCAGATTCCTTGAATCGTCTTCCAAAACCGAAATCACCAGAGAAAGACATTTATATGTACAGAGAAAGACATTTATATGTACTTGTAAAAGAAAATAGATCTAAATCTTTGTTTTTTATGAAGTTTTGAATAGTTAAACAAACTTTTTTTCTTCTTCCTCAATTTTGTTAGATTGTAATCGGTAACCACCGGAAAGATCTCAATTTGAGCAGTTCATTTGCAAACAGGAGGATGTATGGGTGTGGTTTGGGGTTTTGATTTACAGTACTGAGTATTCTTTACAATCACAAACCAGACTTTTGATTTTCTAAGAATGAGTATAGAAAATGGATTTGCAGGTGGAGTTTCAATGTCGACGATGTGTGTGTGGTTTTAATGTGTGTTTTTCATTTGCAGGTTATGGAGAGAGAGAGAGAGAGAGATAGACGTGGGCCCAAATTAATGTGGTGGTCGATGCTTTGAGCCGTAGGACGTTTAGCACACTGATTCAAGGTTTATGCATCAGGGTGACCGTTATGACTCTGATTTTGGAAATAATTAGGGATGCGCGATCTGAGACCATTAAGGAAGAGAATCGGAAGAGTGAGAGGGTGGTTGGTCATGCTTCTGCGTTTGAAGTTGACAATAGAGGGTTATTGACCTTGCATGATAGGATTTGGGTACCTTATTCGGGTGGGACCCGGCAGACTTTGACGGAAGAGACTCACAAGTCGAAGTTTTCGATTCATCCGGGCACTACTAAGATGTATCACGATCTAAGGCACAATTATTAGTGGCCATGCATGAAGATACATATAGCATAGTACGTGGAGCGGTACTTGACATGCCGGAAGGTCGAGACTAAACATCAGCGCCCTTATGGCAAGTTGTAGCCTTTGGAGGTTCCATTATGGAAATGGGAACATATTACCATGGATTTCATCACGAAGTTACCAAAGACGACTAAGGGATTATATGTTATTTGGGTTATTGTGGACCATTTGACCAAGAGTGCACATTTCCTTATGATTCGAGAGAGCTCTTCGACCAAGAAATTGGATGACATCTACGTTCGGGAGGTGGTTGCTCGTCATGGTGTGCCTACTTATAGTTTCAGACAGATATGTCCGTTTTACTTCCAAGTTCTGGAAGAGGTTTCATAAAGAGTTGGGTACTTGACTACACTTCAGCACGACATATCATCCACATACAGACGGGCAAAGTGAGCGAACTATTCAGACGTTTGAGGATATTTTGAGAGCTTGTATCTTCGACTTCGGTGGGAGCTGGTACTAGTACATTCCTTTGGATGAGTTTTCATACAACAACAAGCATCATGCCAACATTGGCATCCCTCACTTCAAGCTTCTCTACGAGAGGAAGTGTCGAACCCCTATTTTCTGGGGTGAGGTTGGACAACGGGTTATGGGGAGCACGGAAGTAGTGCTCAGGACGACGAAGCTTATACAACAGGTCAGACGTAGGTTACAGACAACTCATAGCCGCCAAAAGAGTTATGCAAACCGACGTGGTTTGGAGCTAGAGTTCCAGGTTGGCAACACGGTATTGCTGAAGGTATCACCCTGGAAGGTTGTTATACGTTTCAGGAAGTGGGGCAAGCTGGGCCCTAGGTTTATCAGACCATTTCGAGATGTGGCCAAGGTAGCCTATCGGTTGGACTTACCTAAGGAGCTTAGTCAGATTCATAACACTTTCCACGTTTCTTAACTCCATAAGTGATTGGTGGATGATACAATAGCGGTTCCTTTAGACGACATCCAGGTCGAAAAGCACCTAAATTATGTGGAGAGAACAATGGCCATTCTAGACAGGAAAACGAAGGCCTTACACAACAAGATGGTTCCATTGGTCAAGGTTCAGTATCAACATCGGAAGGGTTCAAAGTGGACTTGGGAGCCCGAATCGGAGATGCGTGAGCACTACCCAAATATGTTTTCGACTAAGGATTTCGAGGATGAAATCTAGTTCAAGTGGGGGAGAATTGTAACACCAGTTTCAGGTAAATGCTTCTTTGTGTTTTTGGCAATTAAAGATTTCAATTATGGATTTTATGTTGACCACGACGTGGTGGAGGAAGCACCATGACATGGTTACAACTGAATTTAAAACGTGCCTTTTTTGTGTGCACCACAACGTGGCAAGGCCTTGGCCACGACGTGGTGGAGACCAATATACAAACCCTATTTTTCATGTTTAAGAGCACTATTTAAGGGATGCGATGGCTAGGGTTTTCTCACCCTCAGCCTCCATCACTCCCTCTTAACATAGAATGAACCCTAGCCTCCATTTTTGACACCTTGAAGCTTTTTGGTGGATTTTGGTGGTATATAATAATAAGAAGGTGCCCATTGAGCAAAGATCCAACAAGCAATTCTTCCCACCACCTTCTTTTTGGATTAGGTGTCTAAGTTCATAACTATTCCTGGAATGTACTTGACCCGGTCGGCATGGTCCATTTGGGTTGCATGGCATTGCAACACTGGGATAGACTAAATGAGAGAAAGGACACTTAAGGATTATTAATATATTATAAGTTCTAATATATTAATAATATTATTTAATTAATATTGATCAAAGAATTAATTTGGAATTAATTAAGTGATCAAAAGGAGACTAATTAAATATATGGGGTTGATTGTGTAAATCATCTATTCTTGTATAGTGGGCTAATGATCCATGGTTTGGGTTAAAACCCATAAGGTGCTCCATGGATAATCCATGGAGGTTACAAACCCATGGATCATGGAATATGGAAAGCCATGACAATTAGGGTTTACATGGTGTAACCGTACTTGTGCCACAACTATATAAAGAACCCTATGCAAGAAAAATCGGCACTAAGACTACTACTTGTACAAGTGAGAGGGCAATCCGATTTTGAGGCTTAGTGAACTTCTCTCAAGGTTATTCCAAGTGTTGTAGTGTTGTGTGAGACATTTGAGGCATCACACTTGAGGCGCTAGGCTCACAAGGTTCTCAAGGAATCCAAACTACAAAAGGTATGTACTTCTTCTAGCATTTATGTTTAAAAGTTCCCATGCTATGCTAGATAGGTTAAGAACCTTGGAAAATCAATTTTGCATGTATCTTAGTAAAACATAGATCCAAGGTTTCTAGGGTTGTGTTGAAAAATGTTTTTATATGTGATCATCACTAAAATAAGACGAATTGGTTTTATATTATCTAACAAATATTATCAGTTATTTCAGGTTGCGTGGATTCGTGCTTAATTATGAAATACAAAAATAGGCAAAAGACGAAATACGCAAAGACGGAAAAATAGACGCATATTTGATCGTTTGAAGACAAAACAAATCAAAGGATAAAAAATTGTCAAAACTTCAAAACATCAAGGGACCAATATGAAAATTCAATTTCTTAATTGAATTATAAACATTCAGTAAAAGAAAGCCACGTTCCCACTACTACCACTTGATTAAAAGCTACAAGCTAGCACCATACATACTCAAGTGTGTTTAAAGATGTTTTCTTTTATTATATGTACATATATATGTACGTATATGTATGTATGTTGTATATATATATATATATATATATATATATATATATATATATATATATATATATATATATCGTGCATATGTATGTATGATTGAGAGAATTGTCACAAAAGCAAAAAGAACCCAACCTACATGTGTTCTACCAGCTACTACATCCACCAAACTATTTCTTTTTC